AGCACCACTTGCTTGGCTGCCAAGGAAGTGAAGTGGAGCGCTTTCACGACGAATAGTACGCTGGTTGCCGAGAAGTGCTTGAAAAGCGCTCCGCTCATTGGTAGGTTGATGCAGCATGATTTGGCATCGCACCAAAGGCGCTGCGTAAACTCGTCCATATGTCCGCCAGCTTAACCGCTTCCCGTGCGTGAGCGAAATTCAGCGCCCCTGCAACGAGGTCCCATTTTGCGTTTGCTTAATTTGAATTTCTATGCTTTTTTCGCCGTTGGCGTACCATTGGGCACTCCCACGTCCTCTCCAAACAAAACCCTCCAAAGCTCATCGTAATCACTGCCTTTAACACTGGCTCCATACACCTCGGTGCATTCTCCGCCCACCACGAAGGTTTCTAGCCTCCTCTTTTGCTAGACCCCAGTTCGGTGCGGTTGTCGTTCCCAACAGCGGTTTATCTCCTTTCCTTTGCAAACCTCTAACCATTCATTCTGGCCCCTGGGCAATCTTGGGACCGATTCATAAAGTTAGGGCAATCTCTGCCCACTTTGGTGTACGCTCCACACGCCAATAATGGATGACCTCACTCTATCAACCTCTATCCAGTTTTTCATTAGTTTCGGGTTTTTGAAACCAAATCATGAAGAATTGTAGAAAAGGTTATCCTCAAGACAGAGCCTGGCCTCAGTATGTGAAATAAAGTGATTTGTCAAGATTATCGCGGCAACATACCTCCCACTTTTATAAAGGCATGCCCCAGGGATCACATTGGTGTGGCTCTTGCACACGAATGCGAATGTATTGGTGCGAAATGGGCCGGCAGTGAAGAAAAAGGGAAAGAATCCGTCGAAAACGCTCAGGTTGAGGGCTCACTCACCTTCCTAATCGGCTGTGCTAAGGGAATGAGAGACTAAGCGCGGAGAGGAGAGTATGAGGCGAGAGAGCGCTACAGATGAGAGAGCGCCAGACAACAGCCTGATAAGAGAAAAAATCTGCAGCTTCAGCAGCTTACTTTGCAAGGCGCTCTTGTCGGTTGGTTTCCGTGCACGGGAACGCCACATTTGTGATTGTCCTCTAGGGGTCTATACTACAGACCGAAGGGAAGCGTTCACACGACCGTGCCTGGGTTGTGCCTTTGACTAGCTTAAGTGTTAACGATGATAGAGAAGGATGACGATAACCGGTGCCGACTGCATGCGATGGTGACGCAGTGCTTTGCAGGGGAGAAATCAGCTGACGAATTTTTTTTTCGATCGCTGGTGCCAGCTAGTACCAGATGACTGGTTGTAAGCAAATACTATGCACACCTCAACTTATCTCCATACACGATCTTTCATGCTATTTGGAAAATTATGACGTCACTGGTCATTTATTACACCCTCCTTTCTTTTTTACTTTCTCTCTTTCTGGTTCTCTGTCTCCGTACATTTGTGAGCTGATCATCGGTCAATTGATTTCTGTATACGCAGCGCATTCGATTTGTATCCAGGATATCGATGCTTCTAAAAGCGTCGTTCACCTTTACATAGCTTTGGGGGCTGGTTGGTGTTTTAGGCCCCATGAGAGTGTGTGCAATGTGTTTATCCCCACAGGCAGCCTGACACCTGTGAACCGATCTTGACGGGATAGCATGGTTGGTCCGGGCGATCCAAGCCGAGATTCGATCCCGGGACTGTGCAAGTTGTAGCTGCGCCGGTATCCCTTGCCCCTTCTCCACTCCAGAAGAGATATTATTAAGGAATCAGGCGCTATCGCAATATACGGGGGCCTCTTTTGGGACCAAGCTTAGCCAAAAACTCCGAAAAGTGGTAGTGGCTCCGAACCCTAAAGTCCCTCCTTCCCCACCTAGGGCTTACCATTAGTCCCGTTTATATCAAAAAGCGCATGTTGCAAGCGATTTTAAATGCATGGTCACCTCAATGCCCCGGTATTTCGCGATAGCGCTGGAAGTTATTCTCTATGACATTCATGCTTAGTGAATTACTTACAGATATATGACTTACCGGCCGATGAACTTCTCGATTCGTACAAAAATGACGGAGACGTTTCGAAAACCATCCGTGATGTCATCGAGAAAAACAAGTTGAGCAGAGTGAGCAAAGGAGACTGGAGCATTCAGAAGGTTCGGTCTGTAGATTGAGTTTGATTGTGCGGTTTTTTCTGTAAAAACACCATCATTTCGGGTCTCGTCAAGTATATTTTTGTTGAAATTTAGGTGGATCGTTGGCTGAATAAGCTCACAGAGTTGACAAAAGACGACGAACAGATCACACATTTGAAGTTCGCTGCTAAAAGGTTTGTCTTGCGTATAATAAAAGCTCCTGATCAATACAGTACTTTGGGGTTCATTACAGTAGCCAACACCTATGTACCTTTGAGTCCGTAATTCTTTCATTTCACTGTGTTCTCAGCTTCCTCAACTGGAGAATTTTCGATTATCATCCATGAAGTACAGTATCTGTTACGCCTTGTTATAAAGGATCTCCGTTTTAACGCTGGTGTAAAACACATATTGGATGGATTACATGCGTCAGCCTATGAAGCGTTTCAAAGTTGCCGTGATTTGGCAGAAATATGTTGGAAAGGTGATATTTCACAGTACTGGTAGTACAGTAGTCTTTGGAATTGTTGCACTATAAAGAGCAAGTTGGAATGTTGGTAGGAATTCATTTCAAACCATTCAAGGCTTTTTCAGGTGTAAGAAGGTAAATTGGAGATTATAGCAGCGCATGGATGTTGGTAATCCGCCTAGGGCACCTGTTATGCCGCATGTTCGTCATGTCTTCGTTTTTTCTTCCATTCTATTGTCATTGATTAAAGGTTTTTATATAGAAAATGTTTTAGCGAACTATTTCCTCTGCACCAGTGCGTGGTTGTGATAGAAATACATAATTTGAATTGCTCTAGTTGTCCGGTATGAAACCATCGCGCCCATTTTTTTTTTGATTTCTTTTCATTTTCTTCCATTTCGAAACCCGATTGCGTAGTAGATTTGAAGAATCGATCTATGACTAAAGTAATTTAATGCTGTATGCATTTTTCTGTCCATTCACTTTGCCTGAGATCTACTGAAAACGACGTCGTGAGTTTTACGTCCAAAAATGTGCGCCCTTTGCATGACTTCAGATAGCCTGAGTGATGTGTCTTGATAGGTTTGTTTCCGAAAGTTATGGTTATTAATACCCTGACGGTTTAGGGGGAGGGGGCGGGCCAACCTATCCGCAGGATATCATGCGAAAGGGATGCCTAAAGTGAGCGGAGGAAGCTCCAAGTGATGTAGGAATGCTGGCATGAGGGTACTTCGAATAGACTAATCTAAAAAACAAATTAGAGGAAGTTTTTGTTCATTCATGATCTCACGTATAGAGCTTCTCTTAGGCTGAGCCGTGTAAATCAGTTGAACAAGCAATGAAGAGAGATGTGTGTAAATGGCATGTTTGCGGAGATCAAATACGATGGAGAAAGAGTTCAGGTACAATTTAAGCCGTTTCAAAAGTTATGTCCGAAGGTCAAGACGAACATGTGCGCGGAAGCGTCGCGGTTTGCACAGATTGTTACCACAGCCTTAGCTTCGGTTTTGGTGGACATAGACGGGAATATACTTTAACTTACTACATTGCAAGAGCAACTGTCTGTGTGTCTGGGTGTGTGGCTGTGTAGTGTGTCGTCTGAATGTCTCGCGTATGATTTTGCGTGTTGGGTAAGGCATGGATAGTAGCACAAAACAGGTGTCAGTTGGTCGGCTTCGCCTGCAGTGGGCGAGGCACGCGCCGAGTTGTAGTGGTGCCGACGACAAAAGTTTCCGGTTTGGTTCTCAGCCTGAAGACCAGAAAAATTGGGTGAGAGTGCTCTGAGTTCCATATTCGAGTTAAGGAAGCGCGTTGGGCAGTACTTCTGAATAAGCGTATGACTCGTAGATACGATTCATCTGTGTTAGAAGAAATGCCTATAGTAGACAGAATAAATTTGGTAGGAAAACTATATCTAGAGTAGCTGAGCGGGAAGCGAGCCCAGAGTAGACGGCGTTCATTAAAAACTGGATAGTTTGCTTTTATGTTGTCCACGAAATCGGGGAAGAGCTGGTAGAGTTGCCGAAGGAGGGAAGCTTATCTGCTGTTGATGGGTGGGACGCACACCGAAATATGCGGAGCTAAATTCAAAAGTCACACAATTGTTCATGACGCCCAAAAACGAGGAAAGGGGGTTCGAGCCGGGGAAGGAGGAAGAGCTCTTTTGGTGGGCGGAGTCTGCGCCACGCTGGGCGGGGCCACGGCCAGGCTCTTTATTGTCCTTCTCATCATCGTTGGACGTGTGACGAACGCGATAGTGCAATCTGATTATCTATTAATGTTGTGGTGTTGATACTTGTTGAGAGTTTCGTTCAATGAGATGACTTAGATTCATAAAACTGGAGATTAGTTATTCTGGTTCTATCTCTAGAATGCCTGAACCTGTAACATCATAAGGTGACAACGTATCTTAATAAACTTTTAGATGTGTTCTGTTGGAATTATCGGAATTTTTTGTCATCTGCTTCACATGTTTTAGATCTCGCCACTGGGAGATTAGTCAACCACGAAGCGCTTCCTGATTGGCTTGGATCGGATTACTTGACGCTTAGGTGTCTTTCGTTACAGTTTTCGTCGAACGTGATACACTGTTCTTCTATTCTCCTTTGCTTAGTGGTGTGGCACGTCTTTCTGAGAAATAATTGTTTCACAGGTTCTGCTTGTCGACAACTCAACCGGTAAACCCCTGCCGTTTGGAACCCTGGGAGTCCATAAGAAGGAACAGGTGATTTTTTTCAGCTTCAGGCGTCTGCGGCGTCGTGTTTTGCAATGTGAATGAAAACCACTTTCTCTAGGTGTAACTAAGTCTCTTCTGAGTGCGCCATGCATTCGACTCCCGATAATATTCGTGGAAGTGTTTGAATCGGTGTGGTTCACTTACACTGATTACTATGATCATTAGCCGACTTTCGTTTACGCTTTTTCCCAATAGGGCAGATTTGACACCATTCGAACTGCACTTGTAGCTAAATTTACACCTGCTCGCTTGTTGAACCTCTTCATTCTTACCTCTCGGACCACTTGATTTCCCTCAACGCTTGGTGATATTCTTACATCTATATGTAACTCTCTATCCTATACCATCGGCTCAATCGCATTCCTGACATGGGTCGGGTTTGTCACGAAAATCACTCTTTCCTTACCGTTTATTAACTAGTTCTCCATTTTTCATGCTGTATCCATTTGTCTAATAATTGCAGTTCAAAAATGCCTCTGTCTGCCTGTTTGTGTTCGACATTCTTCGATATAATGACGAGGATCTGACGGCAAGGTAGGGTCTGACACATTATTTGCTAAAATGACAAATCGGTAGAATATCTTAAAAAGTTTTCTTTGCAATAATCAATCGAGAAAGGACAGGATTTAAAGGCACATACCACGATTGAAAAGGTAGGGGCTGTTACGCTCGAAGGTGGATACAGTCGCAGTAGCCAGTCTACTAGTAATGAAAGTACGCAAAAAAAGCGATGAACGTTCAAAAACGCTTAGCATGCTGATAAAATGAACGGGGTCCGACTCGTCCCTGCCGAAGCGCTACTGATTTTTCGTTCCTCTGATACGGTGGAATACGGTGAAGAGGTGGACTAATGAATTATAGGGCTGCAAGCGCAAACTCGGCCCATACGATTGGCGCGCAATGTGCTTTTAGGGGTTTTCAGCAGTTTCCACCTTCTCGTATGATTGGTGTGTCGATCACCGCAACGGTCATTTTCGTACGCAATAACGTACACCTGTTCGATTTCGGCGTATGCCTTTCCATAATGATCTAATGGAATGCTTTTTCCAACGTTTTTTCTCTTTGATATCGAAACAAAATGTTGGAGTTCAGTTCATTCGGCTGAAATGATTTTAAATAGGCTAAATTCCTGAACGATTTAGCGAGTCAATCAGCATGTTAAGGTACAGGCGGTTGGAGCTAAGGAAATCATTTTACGGTTTCCCATCTGTACCACTGAAGTCTAGCTAGGACTTTTTTGTAATAAAAGATAGGGGAAGGGGAAGTGGGGATCCTTAAAATCTTGAAAGCGGCTTAACTGGCGGTTGGCCTTGCTTCTGCCTCTGCTCAGCTTTACTCATGTTATACAGTCCATGTGCTGCCTCGGAATCTGAATACTAATTTTTTTTGTACTTACTGTTCTCACTGGTGTGGGGCGATGGATGCCGCTAGAATTCGGCAAGGACATACTGTTTCTAGCGCTCCGTACTTCTAGACCCATGCTTCTAACCCTAAGCTTTCCCTGGCCTTTCTGTGCGATTCTTGAAGTAGTACAGAATTTCGAGACAGGCAAGGCAAACAAGGTGATTAATAGACCACTCAGGGTCGAGTCACACCGGAAGACTTACTTGTACGTCGGAGAAATAAGGCGAAATTTTTATTTAGAATACGGAATTCGGAAATCAGTACCAGGTGTGTATTCTTTCAGGCACTGCGCTTATCGGACAGAATTCTGGAAGCTCAAATGTCGAGGTGAAAATCGAGTACTGAGTCTAATTATCAGCTTACGACATGGACGTGAGTTTTTCTTGATGTTTTCACCCGTTGGGTATTACTTTGTACTATATTTCTGCACTCGGAAGATTTTATCTTATTTAACCTTTTCTTTCTTTTCTTTTTTTGGCTGAAGATAAGCTTCACTCCATTTTATCACCGTAGGTTGCTCTAGCGGTTCGCTTGCAATCGGATATTAGGCCCACTTCAGGACAACGGTACCTTGAAAAACGATGATTTGGAAAGCGATTGATGAAGGTCTCGAAGGACTCGTGCTGAAGGACATTGAATCGATCTACGAACCAGGGAAGCGTCACTGGCTGAAGGTGAAGAAAGGATTATCTGGAGGAGGGCCGAATGGCTGATACCGCCGATCTTATCGTTCTTGGAGGCCTATTTTGGTACTGGAAGCAAAGGTAGGAGTTTCCTGTGAATAGATATTTCCAGTTTTTGAATTTTTGGTCGAAATCGTAGCAGATAAAACAGATTTGTGGACGCTTTTATTTACTATTTATTTATTTATTTATTTATTTATTTATTTATTTATTTATTTATTTATTTATTTATTTATTTATTTATTTATTTATTTATTTTTTATTTATTTATTTATTTCATTTTTTTTCATCTTGGATTTACACGTCGTATATCCCTCCTCTAACCAATCAATCCAAACCTAATTTAGGGGGTATGATGTCCGTGTTTCTAATGGGTGTGTACGACGAAGATACAAAATCATATCGAACAGTTACCAAATGTGGTAATGGACATACTGACGACGTACTCGAGGCGATAAATAAGAAACTTAAAGATCAGGTAGGTGAAATGGTCATCTTAATTACGTCGCAGTCCCAAATCAAAGATTGTGACAAACCAGCGGGCGGTTGCAGAGCGGCTACTTCGTGGTCAGGTGCAGGTGGTACCTTCAGCAGGTCAAGCTAACCATAAGCCGTAACGGTGGCAATTGAGCATAGGATCTTGAAAGCGTCAATGTTCGTCGACCACCATATGTGGTGTTCTGGAATCTTTGCCGCTACGCAACCGCGCACAATAATCGCTTTCTGAGTCCATGTTTTAGTCTGACGCTGCGAGGTGCGTGTGAGGTTGCTTTGAAATTGGATATTACTGACAACTAACTAATCGCGCGAATTCAGCTGCCCAAATTCCGCTGCAGAGTTTTTTCTTGGAGTATTCTGTGAAGGGCACTGAGCGTGACAAGATCCTCAAAGAAATTATTTCGGAGCAAGGAAGTTGGACCCCTAATCACGGGGTGGAGGCATTGCCTAGACTCGAAAGTGCGCGACAAGGGAACTAATGCCTTCGCTTGACGCTGCGACCGCTGCCATTCTTATCAATCGCAGCATACGTGGCGTCTGCGCCCTCTCGCGTACGTGTGCTCTCTCGCGTTTTCCCTCTCCTCGCAGCGCTGTGTCTCTCCGTCATACCACGGCCGACCTCTCACAAGGAAATTTCAGTGTTTTCTATGGTGCTTTTGCTTTTTCTCCCCACTAACATTCCTCATCGCATTTCCTTGTCTAATTTTCAAACAAAATAACATGCCAGTTTGATCACGACCCTGCCTTTAAATTCTTGCAATCTTGCTTTCCTCAACATTAACAACTTTTTTATAATAAGGTTTAAATTGAAGATGACTCGTATCGATCGTGATTATGACAGTCTACCGAAGTGGCTGCACTGTTCACGCAGTCTCGTACCAGACTTTGTTATCAAGGATCCCCAAGCAGCGCCTGTCTGGGAAATCACAGGCAAGTTCTAAAAGATCGCGTGAGCACCATGAGCTGTATGTTGTATGCTGTCCTTCCCCAGGCTAGGGGACGGAAAACCCTTTCAATTTTTTTTCTCAATGAGAATATTTCTTCACTTTCACGACATGGTTTCTTTTACACATTCATACATTACAAGTGCCCCCTCCTAGGGTCATTCTGGTGGGAAGAGCAAGGAAATTTAGAGGAATTTCACTCCTCCCCCTCTGGGGAAGGACAGCCTACGGCCTCTCATGAGTTGCACTCGAATAAGTGGAGCGCTTCTGTATACTCATAGGTTTCATCTTATTGTGCAACAAAGTAGGAAGAGAAAGAAAAGGTATGAGGTGTTGTGAGAAGAATGAATATGCAGGGTAGCTTTAAGGCTCCTCGCAACCTGCTTCTCTGCGGTCGAGCTTATATGAAAACGAAAACGGAAAAGGTGGTGGAGCAAAAAATTGAATTTTGAATTTTTCCAGGAGCAGAGTTCTCAAAATCAGAAAATCATTCCGCTGGAGGTATCTCCATCCGATTCCCACGAGTGACGCGTATTCGAAAAGACAAGGACTGGAAGAGTGCTACCAGCTTGGCCGAGTTGAAGGTTGTACTTGGGTTACTGTTGAGGCGAAAAGATTCCGGCCACTTGTGTATATTCTACTATTTCAGAAGCTCTATGAATGCTCGAAAACGAAAACCGATTTGGATCGCTCGTTGGAAGATGAGACTCCGTTGTATGCAAAAGAAGGCATGGATCACGGCGATGTGGAGGAGCTGATTGGGGAAAAGGTGGAAGACGTGGCAGGGAAAAAGCCTGAAGATGTTGATGTCAGTTCTGGATCCACCAAAAGGAAGCATGAGAAGGAGCAAGTATCTGAGGCAGTGGAAGCGAAAAAACCTAAAACCGAAGAAAACAGCGAGCAGTGTCCACCCGGAAAGACGCCATGCAAGTAGGTTTTATAACCATGAATTTTAGTATAGGCCGGTGAAACTCCAGTTCGGGGGGGCCACTCCATTTTTTCTCCAATACTCAAGATAAGGATTAGAGGGCTCACGACACGTAATCGACTCATTTAAAGTAGACTTCTGATAAATATTGGTGTAATGGGTGAGAAACCCTGAAACGTTTTCACATTTCCGCCTGCCATGACCCAAGGGAACGGTCCTGGACCAGGAGAAAGGACACCTCCGCAAAGGGCTAAGGGTGCAGGAGCTCCAGGGTGGATCACCTGTGCAGAAAAGTGGATGGGATGTGGGCAGGTAGTGTGGAATGTAGGACATCCACCGGTCCTTATCAAAAGTACGCTCGAAATGAGTCGTTCACTTATTATCTTATCCGTAGTGTTCGATAGCCCAAAGAACTGCTCTCTAGTACTACGGATAAGATAGCAATGGAGTGGCCCCCCCGAACTGGAGTTTCACCGGATAACCCTATCAAGTGAGCGTTCTTGGTCACTCTAACGACCGGCGTAGGATATTTATCCGTGGTAGATGTGTTTGTACGAGTACGTATTTCTTAACGTATGTCCGCCATCCCTCAAATTCGAGAAGTGTCCTACTTGTGGTTCATAAGAGGCGGTCAGAGGATAGTTTGTGGTGGGACTCTCTGATTCCCCTCTCAAAGGGCCTCGACGCTACTCAATACCATTAGCAGTTTTAAAGGAGGATTCCAGAAAAGATAGGAGGTAGGATAGGGGGATAACCTACTGGAAAGACAGGCGGACCCACCCCCCTCCCGAGGGATTCGGACCGACAGGCAATTTGCAGCGAAGGGTATGCCCCCGACGACCTAGCATGGCTCTCCCCGCGGCGCTATTGATGCGGCACGCCCACCGCTGGCTAACCACGCCGTAAGTCTCTATTTGTTCAGCAGATGAGCGTTGAAGAAGGGAGCACCGACGAGAGTCGCATCAATGCGGAAATCTACGGGTCCTGGCACCACTGACCACCTCTACCTCAATTCTGATGAGGCTGCCTTCTAATCGTAAAGTCCGCTTTCAAGGAAGATGTCTCCTATCGACTTCCAATCCCCAGGTGTTTCTGAGGTGTTTGATTCTAGAGCAGTTGACACACTTCATCTCCGCCCACTCGAGCGGGAGGAGAGGGGGACGCAGATATCTTTTGACGAAACGGGGCAAATTCCTTGTTTTTTCATCTCTATTTTATATTTCTTTCGCAACGTTTAACCAACATCGTAAAAAAATCGTCCAAAACGTCCCTTTTCCTAGAAGCAGGATGCCTTCAACTTTCACGACACTGTTTGATGATAGACGTGAAACCGTGAATTCCTGCCTTTTACGGGGGGAGGGGGAGGGGTACGGTGTTTTTCCCCTGCATTTGAAAGTAGGATTTTTAACAAGTTGGATTGTTCGGTTCGGCCATTGTCTCGATTACGGTAGCTGCCATTCTCAATGATGCGCTGTTCAGATATGGTGCGGAGTGCTACCGTAAGAATAAAGACCACAAAGCTGAATTCTGGCATCCACCGAAAAAATAATGCGATTGAAGGGTGAGTTTTTTTTGAAGAATATGGGTAGTTTTTTTCTCTTCTCGAGTTCTTATATCCTCTGCACTGTCATATCTACTAATTTGTGATTCCCGATTTGTGATTCGCGAT